AGAAGAAAAGGGATTCACAGCCAAATATAACCAATCCAAGAGAGCGAAAGCCAGCCAGATCCTCTACGATTCAACAGTCTCCTGAAACGGATCAAACAACAAAACACGCATGTCAGGTGGGGAGTACAGATGTGCGTGCACACGCACGTGGTGGTTGTGTGCTGACAAAACTTCACTCACATGAAGCACGGCATGTGGAACCGCGTCCAAAGTGATCACCTCCACCGACTTAGCAGTGCTGCTGGAATCCGTCGAAGTCAGTGGGGGTGGTGTCGCGGGTGGTGGTGTTGACGACGGCGGCGGCATTGAAAGTGACTGCAGACGGTGAGTCGAGTTGGAAGGTGTGGTGATAGAGGCTCCAATAACAATGGCTCGACCACCTAATTGCCAGGTTCCACGGCTCTGATGGGCTGGTGGCTGGTTAAACTTAGCTGCAGCCACTGACAGGGAAGAGCCACAAAGCCCGCTTGCATGTGCTCTCAAGGAAGGCGGTGGAGGTGGCGGCAGCGGCGTAGGAGTAGAGAGAGGAGGCGGAGCAGAAGGCGCTCGAGGCTGGTGAGAGGAGTGGGCATTTGGGAGAGCACTACCACCACCGGATTCAAGGAGACTCTTCAGCAACTGCGATGACGTGGCAGGACGACCGCTACTGCCGCTATTGCTGGTGGCAGTGGTGACGGCGGCGGCGCTACTGTCGGTGGCAGCAGAGGAGGTAACTTCATTCTTCGGAGAAATCTTGCGGAAAGTGTGATACTTGTGCACCACTGGACGCTTGTTGTTCGTGGTCGCAGCTACGGTGGCAGCAGCAGCCACAGTGGAAACCACACCTCTGCCTGCTGCAATCACCGGGCGTCCGGTGAGGAAGCCTGCCTTTCCACACACATCGAATGCATGTTGCGCTGTGGCGGGAAACACTGATGCAGTAGTTGCGTTTTCGACCGGAATCAACGGACGTTTGCCTAAAACGATACAACCAACCGAGTTGGGTAGAGACCTTTCAATCCCCTCCTGCCTTCTGAAGGCGTCACCCACACCGCAATCACCTATGTACTCGCAAATCAACTAACCTGCAGCCACGGATTTCGCCACCTGCGACAACACACCAGCTGGAGCAACACACTGTAGCACTGCCGCAGGGTATTGAGACGCATTGCAACACTGTTGGTGGAGGTAGGCCATCGTTGAGGTCGTCGACGTCGTCGTCATCGCTGATGTCGACGCCGATGAAAGTGTGGACTGCGATGGA